CCACTGTCGTGCTTCTCAGAAGAATTTTGACAGCTGCAGAGTTTGATAGATAACTACATAGATTCTCTTCTTCTCAGATAAAACACTAGGTTGATTTTTCTTTTCTTTTTCTTAACTGTTAGTTAGTAGTTGGAATTTTCCCCAAATAGAATATAATGACATGGCTCATTCTGCAAGAAAGCAGTTTTATTGCTAGTCTTTTAACTAATGAGCAGACTGATGATGTGATGATGGCGAGATATTGCTGAGATAAAGCAGCAGACACGCGCGAACCTCAGCCTAGTTTTACTCGTATGAACATAACTAATCTGTAAACTACCTTGATAATTGCCTTGAACAGTTATGCCATCATAACCCTCGTATGACTGACGGGTTTGCTGCAGCCACTCTGACTTTCTGCATGGATATATCCCCGGACACCCCCAAAGCCCGCGTCTATTCAGCCTCTACCATCCCTGCAAAATCCTCAACCCCCCCTCCCCCTCCCCCTCCCCCCTCCGTCTCCCTCCCCAGGTACGGAACAGCCGGAGCAGGGAAGAGTTTTCTTATTGATCATATTTTGTTTAATTCTCCTGTTTCTTGGTTGTTTTTTCGGTTTTGCATTCGCCTCGCCTTCTTTCATCGTGCCGTGTTGCCGTTCGTTGCCTTTGCATACGCACGAAAGCCCTGTCCCAGATTAACGAAAAAGCAAAATATTGATATTATTACCCGCGCGTGTTTGGTTGGTTACTTATGAGATTATAGAAGCTTTGAGCAGAACACAATACGAGATATCATTTCTTTTTCCTTTTCTTTTTCTAATTAAGCAACTGATGATCTACCCCCAAGCAATTTAAATGATGAATCATGGAAGAATCGAAGAAACAGAAACTGGGAAAAGCATTTGTTTTCTTTTGCTTTTTCTTATTGATTTTTTTTTTCATATATTATCTTTTCTATATATGTACAACGATTTGAAAAAATGAATAACTAAACAAATGATGATCATGTTTCATGAAACTTGCATAGTAAGCTAGCTATTCAGACACAACATTACCTTGATACTTCATATATTATCCAGTACAAGTATAAGGTGTAGAGAAACATCATGGGGTAGCTCAACAGCTGAAATAAAAGCCGGGTTTTTTTAAGTTTTGTGCTGGACATCTTCTCTAATAATATGCGCGGCTACTATTTATTTTATTGCTGCTTAAGTTTTGGCTGGGGCTGTTTCCCCTCTTTTGTCCAAGTGAGTGAGAAGAACTTGTGTTCATATAATAATAAGCTGTGGATGATTTTCCGCTATCAGCCCAATCAGCCATCTGGAGCTGATGGTGGATCAAAAAGAGCAGCAGGAAGAAACTTATCTATCAGACAGACAGAGTGGCTGATAGAGCAACCTACATGTACATGTACTGTACATGCACATGTATGTATGTACAAAACAAACTTAATACAGTTTAAACTGGGCGGCCAGGTGTGTATATAGACTTCACCCTAGTATCTTTGGCAGGGCAGTTGAACATAATCTGAGAAATTGAGCATGAACAGTTGTTACAGCTAAGAAAGAGATAAAAAGGGAAAAGATAGAATCAGTCACATCTTGCTGGGCTATTCCATTACTCTTACCCTCACTATGATAAATAATATTGTATTCTGTACCTGAGTCAAAAAATCTCACAGTGGGGATAAAAGATGAAATGGTACTTGGGTGTGGCTGAACAGAGGCAAAAATTTAAGAAGGTGAGGGCGTTTTGAGAAAGCAGCTTCTAATAATAATCCGAAACCGTCTTCTGGAGGAGGGAAAGAGAAAGCAAGATCTTGCTTGTATCATTTATGTTCGGTATTTTGATTGATTCTTTCCATTCGTGATTTCATATTTCATCAGTTCCTATTAACAGGATTCAAGCGCTTGAAACAACAATAATAGTAATTAATAATTCTCCTTCATTCTCCTCTTCCTCATTCTTCCTGTCGGTTTTATTCTTTGGCTCTTATTATTTCTCTCTCCCTTAAGTTATTCTTCTTCTTCTTGCTATTGCATTAGCTGACTAGTCAGACTAGTCCCAGTGCTAGTTTGCGTTCTCCATAATTCCGTTCGCCCCATCCCCATCCCCATCCATGCCCACCACACACAGTCGCTCTGGTCCAAGTGAAGTGGTCTGTCTGTCTGTCTGTGTGTCTGTCTGGTCTGACTGCCAGGCTGTTTCTGGCCCCTCGCCGGCTGCTCTCCACTGTTTCTGCAATCCCCCGTCTATCCCCACCACTTTTTTCACCTCTTTTACCACCTTAAAACAAGTGATAATAATAATAATACATAAAAATAATAATCCCATCCCAGCCAGTGAAGAGCTCTGAAGCAGCCTGTTGCTGCTCACCCTCGTCCCGTACCATCGGCTCCCCATCTCTCTCTCTGTGTCTGTGTTCCTCCTCTACAGCCATCCTTGAGCCTTTCTACCTTCAGCCTTTCTACCTTCCCTTCCCCTCGTTCCTGTATTGCTCCCCAATGCCCGCCACCGCGATCAGCCGCCTTTTCTCTCCTGTTTCTCGCCGTTGCACCACTACCATCACCGCCACCGCTGCAACAGCCATTATCAATCCCATTCCCGTGCATAGTTCTATCCCATTACTGCAGTCAACACAGCACCAGACCCAGAATCCCCTCCCTTCACTCCCTTCGCTCCCGCTTCTCCTCGAGATCGTCAGTTACCCGGCAAGGCTCCGAAACCCTCCAGCAACAGCAGTAGCAGTTTATCGATAGACAGTTATCAATCCATCAATCCACCTCCGCCCATCTCCCCGCTCTCTCTCTCTTTCTCGCATCCAGCTTGCCAGATCGCCACCACCCTCTGACGCTGATGGGGCTCTGGGTTCCGCGAGTCCTGGTCGCTGTCGGAAAATACACGCTGCCTTCTCTAGTAACTCTCCAATCAGCGTGTCCCGACTCACGGTTAAACCGCCGCTTCTTAGCTATTATTTAACAAAAATTCAACCCCGAGCAAAACACCGAGTTTAGCCAAAAAAAAATAAAGAATAATAATAATAATAATAAAAATCCACCCCCAAAAAAGCAAACCAAGCCAACCCTCTCTTTCACTTCCTCTCTCATCTTTCACACACTTTTGTCGCTCAACTTCTGACCATCCTCACCACTTTACCTCTCCTCTCTTTCTCACCCTCGCCCTCCCACCTTTTCCTTACCTTCGTTTCGGACAATTTAATTCCTTGAGCTCTCTGGTGTTATCGTCTTTTTTTTTTTTTTTTTTTTTTTTTTTTTTGATTTTTGATTTTCCTAGATCTTCTATTTTTGATTTTTGCTATATTTTGTTTTCTTTTGTGCCGCCGACCTTATCGCCTCGAAGGTCCAGAACCTCTCCATTTTCAGCCGCCCCTCTCCTTATCCCTCCGCATCATAGTAAACATGGCCCTCGAGAGCAGCACCCCAACAGCTCCGGCTGCCCCTGCTGGCAATTCCAGCGATTTTGTAAGACTGTCCCCCGTTTCCACTTGCTCTTTTACAAAGAATTGTCTATTGTTTCGAAACAATGCATCGCTAACTCTTGTTCCTTTTTCGCCCGCTCCAGGTTCGAAAACTCTACAAGTAATAAATACCCTCCCCCCTTCCCTTCCCCTCCATAACTTGACATCTTCCTCCTACGGATCTGGTCGATAGAAATTATGTCGCATAATAGGTGTACGAGTGGCGGGTGCTGTCCAGTATAGTTTCTGACAAATGTGCATGTTGATAGAATGCTCGAAGATCCGTCATACTCACAAATTGTGCGCTGGGGCGATGACAATGACAGCTTTGTCGTATTAGAGGTAAGGCGGGCGTCTACATACACATTTTGCTTTGGTGTCGACGGGTAGCATGAAGCCGATATGGATGGACGACTGGTGATTAACGACTGTCATACTTCCAGTGCGAGAAATTCACCAAGTCAATCCTTCCAAAACACTTCAAACACAGCAACTTTGCCAGTTTCGTCCGACAGCTCAACAAGTACGACTTCCACAAAGTTCGCCAGAATAATGAAGAATCTGGCCAATCACCCTACGGGCCCAATGTAAGCCTTTCCCTTCCGAGCACGAAAGCTATCTCGTTCCCTCCCACACATCCGCAATGCAATCCCATACTTAACAATTTGTGTTTTCTTCTTTTTTCTAGGCTTGGGAGTTCAAGCACCCGGAATTCAAAGCCAATAACAAGGAATCGCTGGATAATATTAGAAGGAAAGCACCAGCACCACGAAAACCAGCCCAGTCGAACGATGATTCATTCCATACCCAACAGTTTGACATGCTTAATCAGCAGCTTGTGGCTCAGGCACAACAGTTTCAACAATTAAGCGATCGTTTTTCACAATTGGCTTTGGAAAATCAAATGATGCAAACCGAAGTTCGAAGAGTGCAGAAAACGATGTTAAGCCACGAGCAGGTTCTCCACTACATGATGAATTACCTACATGGTGTTGATGCACGGCATAGACGAGAAAACAGAACGCAAGTGTCATTCCAGGGTACGAGCGGGCCAGACCTGAGCCCTTCCCAAGTTGCCCCGGTTGAAGACGACGCCGCCTCCCCCCTGCAGCAAGCCACCAAGATTCTGAGCGAGCTGAGCAACGAAATCCAAATGAACTTGGGTAGTCTGGAGTCTATGACTGACATGCAAGCAACCCGGCTTCCAGGGGCTGCCCCTACGCCTCCTCTAGATCAGATCCAGCGGAATGGAACGCTAAGACATCCAACCTCGGCTGGCTCAAGCACGACACTGGGATATTCTAAACTCAATGGCGAACTGGAGCAGATGGTTTATCCTGTCGGTGCGCCCAATGGTATCGAGCCACTATATAGCGAACATGTCAACAACATTCCGTATTCCTTCCCTCCCAAAGAGCTCGATCCTAACGACCCACGGCGGCAATACGTGGATGGACGCAAAAAAAGCATGTACGTCAACCCAGGTTGGGTACAGCCTCCCCGCATTCTCCTAGTTGAGGACGACCAGACGTGTCGACAAGTTGGGGGGAAATTTTTGCTCTCGTTTTGTTGCACTGTTGATTACGCGGTATGTAAACCCCCTTTTCAACAGAGTGCTTATTCTTTTTATCCATTCTCAGATCCCTGACATACTTATAGCTCGACGGCCTTGAAGCCGTTAATAAAATACAAGAAGGTTCTAAGTACGATATCATATTGATGGATATCATCATGCCGAATCTTGACGGGGTTTCCGCCTGCAGTGTAATCAGGAGGGTTGACACTACACCAATAATCGCCATGACATCGAATATCCGCAGTAGTGACATTGAGCTTTATTTCCAACACGGTATGTGTGAACTATTCCATCCCCTTGAATGACCATCATAACTAAAACCTCCGTAAGGCATGAACGACGTTCTTCCAAAACCATTTACACGGCAGAGCCTCCTCACCGTACTCGAAAGACACTTAAATCACCTAAAAACAATACCAAGCGCAATAGAAGCGCCCCAATCAGCCATCGTCGCGCCCATGGCCCAAACCTCCGCAGGGCAGTCTGTCAAGGACGAAAATTCCCCAGGACCGTCACCAGCCGCGTCGATGAATAACTGGCAGTCCCCCGGTCAATTCCAGGGCATGTCACCCATCACCCCCAATGTCCCCGGTCAATACATGCAGCAGCAAACCCCAACCACAGCAGCAGCGGCAGCAGCATATGGACTCGACCAGAATGGAGTTCAATACCCACATCCACAACCCCAAATCGCCACGATGAACCCTACAGCAGCCACGGCGGCAGCTCGCGTCCAACACCGTCGGCAGATGTCGGACATCGGTGGTGCAGCTGATGGAAATTCATTTTCTAAACGACAAAAGATGTTTACGCATACCTCCCAAGCAGTTGTTAATCCGATGCAGACGAATCGCATACCCTAAAGATCGCGTGTTTTACTTTTCACTTTTTTTAACCTCCGTCATCGGTCATATCATACCGCTGTCGAATTCATGTCGATTTTTATTAATAATGTCCCAGTGTGCATCTCCTTGAATCACGGTTGCTCTGTTCATCCTCGTCCTCTACTCTTTCTTACCTACATATATATATATATCACACAATTAGTTTTTGTTTCCTCTCACCTGATAAAAAGATGCTACGAGAGAAAACTAGTTGCCTTTTGTGTTGTTTCCTTCCTCCCGGGTATATATATCGGAGGGGAACGTGTGATTAATTGGGATTAAGTAATCTTTGTTTTCTTTTTTCCTTGTTCTGGCTGAAAGCTGGTGTGACCAGCCCATCTACCATGGCCATGTTGGTATGAGTGCTTTTCTTATTTTTATTTCTTATTCTTTTGTCTCTTTCCTATCCTCTTCTTGCTGGCACGCCAAATCGTCCTGCCGTCGATGAGAAACGCTTTCTTCTTCTCTCTCTTCCTTCACTCACCCCGCCGGACGAACGAAACTGTTCCGTCCCTTCTATATATTGCTGTTTTCCACGCTTACAAACTCACCACACTCCTCTCGATTCCTATAAATACTTCCACTCGCACGACTTGAGCAGCTATCTCTTTCCTCTCTGTCTCTCCTCTTTTCACTATCCACGGGCAAACCAAGCAGACATTTTTCTTATTGGCGTTTTATGGGTGGATGAATCTGGGTGGCTTTTTGTTCTTATTTATGTTCCTTTTTTCTCTTTCTCTTTCTCATTTGTGCCATTTTGGAAAAAATCATATTTTTGTTGATACTTATTACTATTATTATCATCTCATTGCTTTTATTTTCATCATAAATCAGAAATGTATATACTTATGAGGCGGAAATCTTGTTTCATTTTTCACAAGCAACCACAACCACTAACTTCCCAAAATCATCATCATCCACACCTATCTATCTATCTATCTACCCTCCCTCCTTCCCCCACCCTTAAACACACATCCAGGTTCGCTTCTTTGTTTATGATTATATGAGTATATATCAAATTGGATTCTTTGATGTGGCTACATGCATGTGGATGGGGTGGATTTTCCCTCAACGAACCTACCATGAGGGCTGTTGCTTTTTTCCGCTGTTCTAGGAAAGCAGGTTGGGCTCGGGGTGGTGGGATATCGGGAGTTGCCCGACGAGGACGGCCGGGTTATAGCGAGAAGACAGAGACGAAAGACGGGGAGAAAAAGCAGGAGAAAAAAAGAAAGATGAAGGGAAGAAGAGAATCTACGATAGAATTTGCATGACGATCTCAAACCTGCTCCACTGCCAATTCCTGCATGTCACACGTTTTCCTCCGCCATTGCCTTTATCTTGCCTCCTTTCCGTGCTCTTATTTTTTATTTTTTATTTTTTTCGCTTCTTATTCCCCTTGGATTCAATGAGTGAATCCCCTTCCTAGTTCCTACTTTTCCCATTCCTCTTCTTGGTCTCTTTAAATTCAATGATTTTCTTTTCTTGTGACTTCTTTTCCTTAGCGGCAAGGTCTCTCTACCTTTTGTTTTAAAAACCAAAACTTTAATACATACAATGAGATGACATGAGAATGAAATGAGGACTGAATTTGGCATCAAATCTGAACGGCCTTTAGTGAAAGTGGACAAATTTGAGTGACTTATTTTCAACTATATTAGGAAAGAATTTTTTAATTAATTTTGTTAAGAAATTAAATACGGTGGGGATAAAAGATTAACTTGATATAAGTTTACTTGGCACAATGATTTAGTAATATGTAAGTGTAGGCTACTGGGGCAAAAGAGCTCGATCACCATGCTGGTAGAAGGGCCGATCAACCGCGGGACCCCCAACACCCCCCTCAGACCAGCTATCACAGAGTACAGTACTTCCTCTCAGTGGCTCTCTTCAGTGGTCTCCCCACAATGGCTCCTTTTAATAGTGGACTCAGTCAGTCCTAGGGCTCACGGGACTTCTAGGGCACACTCCTGGGATGTCTCTTGACACTGTTAAAATGTCCAGGGTATTTGTTAGGAATTTTTAAGTCCATTCTGGGATCAAACCCATGCATATTGATCACAGTGGGGCTCACGCTTAACAGTCTCATAACCTGTAGGCTACTGGGGCAAAAGAGCTCGATCACCACCAGCGCACTGCTGGTAGAAGGGCCGATCAACCGCGGGACCCCCAACAGTAAGCTACACAGTAATTAACACAAATCACAATTATATCTCTGTGAATTCTATCTATAATTATCATCAGTGTTATAACATCAGCAACAGCTATCAGAGAGTAACAGCATCTGAATACCTATGCAATTAGAGATTATGCATTCGTCACCAGCGATCTACCAATCATCGTGAGCCTAGAGGTCCATGCAAGTCTTAAGCAACAACAGGTGATGGTAGATATCATGACGCAGGCATGGAAACGTATGCTCTTTGAGCTTCCCGCTGATATCCAAGCTAAACTAGAAAGTCATCAATCTTACTCTCAGAAAGCTTGTACAGTGAAAAGATATCACAATCAGATCTGAAGTCTGTGTTAATTAATTATTGATGAATTCATACAGGTTTAAGAACTCTGGTCTTGTCAAGAAAGTAATAATGACTGTGACTTTTCTGGATAAATAATGTGATGTGTGGTGTTCTGAACTCATCATCAATTGTGAAGAATCTCAAGAATATCAAATCATGCTCAGACCCATCATGAAACAGAGTTTCCACACATCAATTGATTGATTAACAACTCCAATCACAATTCTTCTATGTCAAAGCTCAATTCCACTTATTATTCATTGCCTAGCTACTCTTAACACCTCTCAAAGTCAGGTCTGATATCTGAATACTCTTCTTTACCTGGCTTATCACTCTGCCAGCAATCTGTACATGCTGAATTCTGCGGCTCTCTCTGACATGCGTCTCAAAGCAGAAGATTATCCCCATTCCAGAGCGTCTAGAGGCTATACACACTATGGTGGACAGCTAGCTCTCCCCTACTCCAGAGCTTAGGCTACGAACCACTCAAGCAGCACATATATCAAGAAAGGTGATCGCACCCCGTTGAAAGGGAAAGAGAATAGAGGAGAGCATCAGAATTGAGTCATGAAAATATCACCTGAGAGAGGCAATCAGAGTTTGAAACTGAAAATTGGCGTAAGAGCTACCCCCCTGTCCACCATCTCTCCCTCTCTTTGTTGTAAGGGCATAAATTAAAATGCACCCAGGTCTGTTGAACACTGCATTCTATAAAGAACCGCCAAGAATGGGAGATGAGGAGGAAATGGAACCACCAGTGAAGAAGCGAGCTAGATCAAGCCCAGGTGAATGAACACAAGAATGGTAATAGTTGTTTTCTTAATGCCCAACATCTCACACTCCGAAGAATTAGATCGACGGTTGGTGCTGAATTCAAGTGTTTGGGGAGCGGGACCTTGACCGGCAGCTTGGTTGTTCACTGATAGATCGCCGTCATCATACGTAAGTATATTGGAGTTATTCTCACTATATAGATGTTGTAGCTTCTTTGAAGAATAGCAAAATCGGGCCCTGGAAGTCGGTACGTTATTGGTGTGAAGGTTCCACCTAAAGGCAAGCCTTACAAATCTTACTATTGTGGAGAGACTATATAGAACCATGGGAACCGGGAAAAGTTTCCTACATAATAATATACGTTAATCATGACAATAACATATCCAGACGCTACAGAGCGTAAATATAATAAAGCAGGCAGTAACCACCATCAAAGACCTAGTCCGGTCTGTACCCTGTTCAGAATGTCCATAAAATACAACTAAACATAGCTGAGACATTCACAATTGGGATATCAAACCACGGTGTCAACAAGTGGCTCAGACAACCACTAGTTATCCACCCAGAGAGTCTAAGTTTGATGAGGCGGCCCAGTTCAGTAGACCCATCTGCCTTCACGCCTATCTCCTCTTGATTCCGCAGAAGCCTATCAATGTATTCACCAGAGGCGAAGAGGTGAAGGACATGAGCAATGGCACTATGGATTGCGAGGAGTTGAGGCAGAGGAAGGTCAATTGTTCTTTCCTCTGAAAGGTATAGCTCTCGAGTTACTGGCAATACTGGATCTCGCAAGAGGAAGGGTAGGAGATATGAGCCGATTTTGTAGACATGAGGCAGTTGGGTTGAGACCGGCTCAAAGAACATTTGGAAGCCCCCAAAGAGATTATGGAGAGTAGGCGTAAGAGATGGCGTTGAAAGGCCGGTCTATCTCACAACCTTCAATCACATGCGCGACGCCACTGTCAAACATGTTCAGGATCGCTATGGGAGCCTCCTTACTTTGAGTTTAGACCAGTAAGCTAAAGGGAAATTAACCTTGTAGAGAGACAAATCAATTCAGAACCGTCTTCAATCTTCATGAGAGAATGTGGGAGTATATGGGCCACTTGCGGGGTCTCAAATGCTTGCGGGTCATCCTTGAGCAAAGCTCCATCATTATCTCTTGCACCATCGTCGTTCTTCTGAACTCGCGTTGCAGCCTCCTTGAAGCCAAACTTTCGTGATATCACGCAGCGGTGGTGGGTCGGACAAGGCAGGCACCCCGAAGGGAAGATAGTCGATCTGGTGTTCCAGCAAACCCTTGTTCCTAATGCTCTTCGTGCTGTAGAATGGGGGGCTGGAGATGGCTGAGGAGGCTTTTTACCTGCACTTTTCACTTGAGGGTATTAGCAGCAGTCAACAGATAAGAGGGCAGCAAACCAAGCTTACACAGAAGAAAAAAGTTGTCAAGGAGGTATTCTGCAAATTCAATGAAGGCCTCGCGAAGCTGCTGTTCAAGGTTCTCATTGCTGAAGTGGATGTCTTCATTGCCATTTAGGTAACGGGCATGATATTGAAGAAGGCATGTAGATACATGTCCTTAGACTCCGCAGAGCATGAGTACTCATGGGTATATTGGACAACTAGACAGTGGTTATATTGGCTGTTAATGATATCCTTTAAAACGTTGAATTTCTCCATGATGCAATAGAATCTACCCTTCGCCTTGTCCTGCCGCTGTGCACCCAATGATGATTGGACAGCGCAATGTATGCATGATGCTCTCCATAGCGACTAATGACGGTGATGAGGTTTTGAGGAGACCATTGTGTTGTGTGTAGGTGGGGTGAAAGTGAAGTAAAGGAAGTGAGCAGGTATGAGGGGTGATAGTGGTCTCTGAATGAGCTTACTGGAGTGACAATTAGATACATGTGATAATAACTTCTCATCCCAGGAACATAGAGCAATTTATTGAAGTGGTTTGTACACCTCTGACCTCTGTATTTATTAGAAATCTGAGGTGCTTGAGTTCTGGATTTAATGTATCCTCTGCGGGTTTCAAACTCACATACCTTGGTTTCCCACAACCAAGGTGCTACTGAGTGGCCACATTAATCATTCAGTCACTGAGGCTGTAAGAAAGCTTTTTACAGTGCTGAATTTAACAGTATTAATTAATCTGAATAGAAATTATCAAAGATTTGCAATGCTGTGATAAGAATGTAGATTGTTATTATTATTATTATTCTTATGTATATAGTCAGAGACTATGACATCTACCTGAGAACTTTTAGTTCTCAGAGTTTTTTCTATATTATTATTATTATTATTATTCTTCAATTATAGATGTATGCAGTCAGAGACTATGACATCTACCTGAGAATTAAAAGTTCTCAGGGTTTTTTGTATATCTATAAAGTTAACTATTATACATTCATCAATTTCAGATATATAAAATCAGAAAATTTCAGCTCAGAATACAAAAACTGTTTATAAATTATAGTATTTTAACATCTTCTGATACTTTAAAACTATTTGATATGATAAAAGAAAAGAAAACACAGTCTTAAAGATAGACACATTAAATAGATAGATAGAAAAGAATAGAAAGAAAAAAGTAAAGTAAAATAAAGAGAGACTGTAATAAAATAAATTATTAAAAGATAGTATATAGCTGTTTTAACAGACTATATCTGATCAATTTTCTTCTCTTTATATTCAGATATTTCTGAATTCAGTCATTTTCTTATAGCTGCTTGAGTTTCTGATAGAAAGTCTATTAAGTATTTAATTTCTATCTTAGTTAAGAATAAGAATCTTATATTTAATGAATTTAGATTATACTTCTCTTTTAATCTGACTCTGAGATTGTTGTATAATACACAGTGTATTATAATATACTCAGAATTCTTATTTATATTGTAGAATAAGTATTCTATTAAATTAAATCTATTATTAAATCTTTATATATAAGATTTAAAATAGCTATATTCTAATTTCAGCTGTATTATAGATGAGAATATTTTCTTTTTATATTTAATTAAACAAGATTTTCACTTAGATTTTATTTCAAATCTTGAATAATATATACTTTTCTTTTATTTCTATCAGCTTTCATTTCACTTATCTAAATAAGATTCTTTTATTTTTCTCTTTATAAAAGATCAGAATACAATTTTTTAAATAGATCTGTTTAATTCTGAATCTTTTTTTACAGCTGAATCAGTTAATTCATTACTATGAATATTCATATAAGTAGAAACTCAGTATAGATAAATTATCAGCTTTGATATTCTTCTCTTTTGAATTTTTAAAATGAAGTTTAAGATCAGTTTAAGATTCATTTAATTATTATAAATCTGACTATTTCTAAGTCTTTTTAAAGCAGCTTGACTATTAGAGAATATTTATATCTCTTTC